ATGATTTGATTGAATTGATTAAACAAATTATTGTGTTGTAGTCTTTTATTTTCTTCTGTTGGTTGTGATTTTATTTTTAATTTTGACAAATTATTGTAATACTTAATTTTTTTTCTTAATTATCATTGTTCTTTGTCTTTACAAATCAAACATTTTTAATATATTTAAACTTTGATAATTATTTTAAATTTAATTTATTATCTAAAATATTTTATAAAATATTTGTTTAAAGCTAATTCAACATTTTTCTTACTATAACAAATGGGTATATGAAAGAGGTCGATGAGCAAATAGATCTGCATATAAAAATATACTTTTGAAACCTCACGTTTCTATGCACAATTACTTGTAGGATATGTTTTTTTAACCCTTGGGAAAAAAATCCTTATTTTAAAATGTTCCAAGCCGTAAACAAAATGTCTTCTATGTTACTTACTCAAAACTTAAAGTGGCACTTTTGACTTATCTCAAGCATACACATTTCTTTCTTAAAAAAGAGGGTTAAATGGGTATTTATCTTTGGTGTAGAACTAAAATTAGTTTGACATTTTTGTATGTTTGATAAGTTTTACATTTGTCTTATAGAAATTAATTTTAACATGTGATCATCGTAAATATTTATAATATTAGTATTATAATTAATCACGTCTCATTTTAGAGGTGATCAAAATAAAAGTTAAATGTTTCTATTAATTGATAATTGTGATTAACTAAAAGTATTAAAAAAATTATTATCTCTGATCCTTTTTCAAGTTTTCAAGTGCCGGTTTATGAAGTTTTCTTTGTTTCATGTTAATTTTCGTTTTCAAAATTTAAGATATTATTGATTATATTTTTTATCAAAATTTTCATTAACTATTTATTGTAAGAAGAGAAAGGGATATTAAATAATAAATAGTTAAAAATATTATAAATGGCAGAAACTTAAAAATATATATTAATATTTAAAGCAAAAATAATAATAAATAAAGATATATTACTTTAATATACTAATATTGATGTGACAAAAAAAATAGAAATATCTAGTTATCCTTTTTTTGAATTAAAAGACCAAATATAAATTTTCTTCCAATTTATCTTTATTGTCTGCTCCACATCTATCATAGCATCACAAAGCTCAACCTTCAACGCATATCTAAATATTAAGAAAGTACAAAACCTACCAACATGGACAACTTTCTGATGGTGATGTAGGATTTCCAATCAGTAGGCTTGTCCTCAAATCTCGACATATTCCTAGCAGTCCAGAATTGGTGGAAGACATTTATGATGCAAGAATTGACCATAATTTGAGCTTGAGGAGACTAGTCCATGATGATCACTTTCTTATAGTCCATGAAACTTCTCTTTACAAAAGAACATTCAAAGAAAAAATGATTTGAAGTTTCATCCTAATTCTTGCAAAAGGAACAAACAGAAGGAAGAGCAAACCCTCTTATGGACATGTTTTCATATATAGGAAGTTTATTGTGCATAAATATTCAAAACACGCTACTACATATAACACATGTAATATACATGTAATATAGGTCGTAAAATACATTTAACTTTAGATTCTCAGGAGAGATAACGAAGGACGACAAGATATTTATTTACTTTTCGATTTTATTTAAAGACTGAGGTAATAAGATATTCATTTACCTCAATTTTAAGTAATAACTGATGGGTTAAATCTCATTTTTTGTCTGTGTCATTTTCACTAGCTTGTATCATATCATTATAAATCTATTAATCTGTATGTATCATTTTTTTATACATAAATTACAAAATATGTAACCGAATTAGAATATATCATATCAGTTTAAATTAAATGTACAATTTTATCATTAAGACAGAATACACATATTTAAAATTTACATATTTGCATATTAAAATGACAAAACCTTTATTCATATACAAATTAAATTAAGATTATAACAAACCAAGAAAAATTATTATTGTTGTTAAGATTCATAAAAAGCTAAGAAGACAATGACCCAACCTGATCGAAAATCAACCGTATCTTCTTTTGAGTATGGTGTTATGTTGTTAAACTCTTATAATTAAAACAAAATTTAATTTATGATAAGCTAAAATCAATAACATTAACTTAAAAAGTATATATATATATATATATATATATATATATATATATATATATATATATATATATATATATATATATATATATATATATATATATATATATATATATATATATATATATATATATATATATATATATATATATATATATATATATATATATATATTGTTTAACCGTGCATGTCCTTTAAGAAAGCAGCAAACATATATCACACCATAAGTATTGCCAGGTAGAATCAGTCAAAAATAAATCTCAAACAGATAACTCTAGCCAAATAAAGGGAAAGTAGGCAATGTCAAGTGTGCTAGACTACGACCAATGCAATGCACTAAAGATGAGAATCCACTGTCCACCATAAAGTTTTAACTCAGTGGTTTTTGTCAACCATTACAAGACATGTTAGGCAGAATTGTTCCTATAATCCAAGCATCGTCCCCATTCTCTATTCTTAGTGCTATGCTAACCAAACATCATGTAGACAAATGTCTGTCCAACAATATTCTCTTACTACTTTAGTCATTAGAAAAAGTAGTTCATTAGAACTTTATGATACACTAAATCTTTTTAAAAAATGTTTGCTTGATTGCAATTTGATTCTTTTATTTTTAATTTTTTCAAATTTTGATTTGCCATTCTTAGATTTAATTTATTGATCCTTCAATATTATTTCTTTTGAAATTTTGGTTTTTCACTTTTTTTTTATGACGTGACAACAAAATTAATGAGAAGATAAGTAATATGATATAATTGAAACTTCATCTTATTTATAATTATTTTTTACAAATTATTATATTTATTAGAAAACATAAAAAAATGTTAAATCAGAATTTGAAATTATTTATTTTTTTGAAATTATAAATTGTTTAAATTATTATATAGAAAATATTTAATGAAATTAATAAATTAAATCAAATTTATATTAATATATAATTTGCAAAATAAAATAATTTAAGGGGTTTCAAATCCATGTCCTCAAAAAACCTGGTGGTCTTGTGATCTGAAAATCAAGAGAGACAAATGCTTTTATGTTGGGAAAGATAGCTTGGGGTCTAAACCAGGATTTTAATTTCATGTGGATCCAAGCTTTGAAGCATAAGTATATCAATAAGGAAATATTCTTTAATATGAAAAAGAAATCGAGATCGGTTATTTAGAATGCAATTATTAAAGCTCTCACTACTCTTAAAGATGAATTTTAATTTAGATTGGGGTGAAAACTCCTCTTTCTAGTTTTGGTATGGGGTAGAGAAATTAGCAGAGTAGGTTCTCTAAGTGGATATAAACGATCTAGAAATGCGAGGGAATGATGTTTATTTGGATGAGAATTGGAGCTTCAATTTATAATATACTAATATTTCTCCTGTTGTTTGTGACTGTCTTAAAGTGCTTCCCATTTATTTGAATTCTCTAGTGCCTGATTGATTAACTTGGAAAAGAAATTTAGACGCAATATATACTGCTCGAGGTAGTTATAATTGACTCAAAAGACTTTAGTTTTTTCAGAACACAATAGATAATAACTCTTGAAAATGGGTGTGGCATATTCCTGCTTCCGAGAATGTGAAATTGTTCCATTGGACAACTTTACATAAGTCTTTTCCTACGATATCAATGATGTGCCATCGTAGTATGCTCTAGATGAATTTGTTCTATATGCAATCTGAACGTCGAGATGACTCTACACTGCTTGAGAGATTGTGAATTGGCTACTCGCTTTTGGAAATTTATTGGCTTCTTGGACCCATTATTCTTCTAAAGGGATGGTTTATATGATTGGATTAGACATGACACCGATGGTGACTCTATCTTTTTGGTTGCTTGTTGGTGGTTATCGCGCTATAGGAAAAAACGATGTCTTGTGAATGAAGTGGTATCTTCCTATACTTTGAAAATCGTCATAATGAATTATGTCAATCTGATAGCTAAATATTTTATCAAGCATAATATGTCTCATTCAAGAAGAATGATCACGTTGAATTTACACAAAGATAGTAATATCATTTTGAATATAGATGGCAGTAGTCTCGATAATCCCGACGTCTTGGGTTTTGGTGGATTGACTTGATATGCTTGCCTAGATTCACGGATTTACGGGTAATATTAGTTATTCCAACATCCTTCATATTTAGGTGCTGATGCTATATCATGGTTTGCATATGGTCTGGAACTTGGCATTAATGACTTGATGTGTTATTTTGACTCAACTCTGCTATCAAACTTATCTCAGAGTCTGTTAACGCTTGACATCACTCTGTCGTAGTTCTTCACAATATTAAAGAGCTTTTATGTATGGGGGCGAGTTCAAATATTGCATACTTTTAGGAAGGGGAATGCTTGTGCTGACTATTTTGCAAAATATGGAGTTGATAATGATGCGGCGTACTAATCTTTTACGGAACCTTCTGTTAGAATTATCACTCTCATCCTAGCCGATATTATTAGGAATTTCCTTTTTAGATGATTTTCTGTTTTCTTTTTTCACTTTAACCAAAAAAAATCCATGCCCTCAAGATAAAATTGGGTGTTTCTACCATCCAAACCAACAAGCTTCTTTGCTAAAAATATGTTGGGATATTTATTTAAGGGTTAAATACACAACACCTCCAGTAATGTTAACGAGTTTAGCTTTATGCTCCTGTAAAAAAAAAATTTTAAATCCTCCATCGCAATTTCCAGATTCCCTCAGATACACCCCTGATTTCTACATTGCAGTAAAGATTCTCTCTAACTGTCAGCGTGACAGTCACATAGTATTTTTTATTTTTTAATTATTTTTTAAATATACATGGAATTTTTAAAAAAAAATTAAATTTTTTATTTTATTAAATTTATTTATTCATTGATTTTTTTAAATTTTTTTCATAGACGAATTATTTATTTATTTTATTTTTAATTTCTTTATTTATACCAAAATTTATTTTGAAATGTATTGGGCTTTTGGCCCATCTAGTGTCGGCCTATTTCCAAACAAATAATCAGTATTATTGTGTGCTATATAAACACTAAAGTTTTCTCTACAAAATTCGATGTGGGACTCTTTGTTTTTTACCAGAACTGCAGGAAGCTGGCTGGAAGAAGGATTGTCCATTCCAAATTTGAAGTTGAGCAATGCAGAACAATCCTTCTCATAACAATTATCAATAAAAATGTAAAGTGAAATTTGAATCAGGGAGAGAACATCCTTCTGCCATAGCTTACCATCATCTTTTCCACAACAGTAAACCACTACATACAACCTTAACAACAAACCTACAACCATTGTGCCACGATTTTTCACCAAGAAGGAAACCTTCATACCGCTCCATAACTCATTGTTTTCAACCGTCGTACATCGCCACCGTGAAAGACCCTTCCATTACTTTTTCTTTTTTGATCTGCACTCAACCTCTCACTCAAACAAAATCCTCAGTCGTCTTCAAGCTTACAACACCAGCTTACTACCACCGGTCCTCAACACGTTTCCACATCATAGAGAACAACAAAACTCACACAAAGGTCCATGAAAATCACTGTCATAGACTCTTCAGATTTGTAGCTCATTAAAAGAAAGCTCCACCGAGATCTTCCACTATCGTTTTCAACACTATAGATGTATTACCGTTGCTCCACCATTGACGCCGACAACCCAATTTCGCAACTTCCATGGTCCACCCTCACACTTTCGTCCGACATCTGCACTTCATTTTCAATAGTATCTGTTTTGTCTTTTTGAAATTTGATTTTAAGTTTTGATTAATTTTTGTTTTTAAAGGGAAATTGTAAGATAGATGGTATGTATATTGTTTTAGAATCTGGAAAAGGAATATTGATTAAATGAGCAGTAAAAAGAAAGAATACATATGTAACCCCATACATACATTGCTTAGGATATATGCATATGGTATTAATACGGTACATAAAACATTCATACATAAGCAGCGGAAATAGAAATATATATTAGTACAAATTATAACTTACCGAAATCGTCATGGACAAAACAATACAAATCTAAAAGAGAACTAATACATAAGTGATCAGTGGTTTTTACACGGTTATTTACTATTAATTTCCGTTATCTTTTCTTTTGATTTTCTAGTGTTTTATTTTGTTTAAATATATTTTTATGCATTGGTTGTGTGTTTTGTGTTTTTAGGCTCACAAGAATAAATCGAGACAAATTTGTGCGAAAAAGTGCAAAATTCAGAGTTTCGGAAAAGTTTTCAGCACGCTCCAGAAGGTCCAACACGGCCACCTGTGTCAGCCAATGCGTTGATTGATCATTTTTCACTAAAAAATTTATAACTGGAACTACATAAGTCATATCGACGCGTTCTAAAATTCGTTAGAAAGATGAGAGAAAGAGCTACAACTTTCATGTTGAAGTCAGAAGCTGATTCTGACTGTAGAAGCCTCGAAAAATTCATAAAAGTTGCAGACTTTAGAAATTTAGTTGTTTCGGGTTGTTTTACCGGCCTAGTTTATGTTTCCGACCCAATTTGAGTTAGTGGTGAAAACGCCTATTTGAATTATATTACTTTTTGCGAGCAAAGAATTGGGAGGGAAAAGAATGGAGAAGACAAGGGTTTTTATGGAAGGAGATTTTCATGAACGGGCAAGATTGAAGATCAAATTTCTCCCAAATACTTGTAATGTTTACAATTTATCTTTTGTTCTCTTTGAATAGTATGAGTAGCTAATACGCCAATGTTAGGGGGGTGTCCTTGTTTAGAATTTTTAATGATTTTGAATTCTTAATTTGATAATACAATAGTTTTTCTATTCACTTTAATTGTTCAATGTTTTTAAAGCTTTCTTTGTCGGACAAACAAGATTGATTTACGGTTAACAATCAGTTGGACCGCGGTTGTTATGGTTTGTGTATAATTAGACTATAGTAGATATCACCTAGGACTAGGGATAGCCTATAGTAAGCAGATAACTCTTGATAAAACAAAGGCTTGACTCCATCAGAAATTTCTAAGGACTTAGGATTTAGGATGGATGGTCAAAGGTTTTCTCACTAGGTACTTACTTAGGGGAAAATAACCTAAAGAGTTGGTAATTGAGTGTTATGAACTTGTTGAAGAGATCGGCATTCAAGTTTATTACAGGATAAATCATACACTTTACTCTAGCATGTTACTCATATTTTTCAAAAATAGTCCTTTGCATCTATTTATTTTATTAGCAATTATTTTGTGTTAGCAAATCAAACCTAAACTCTAGTTTTTGTTTAATTGAACAATAATTGGAACTTGATACTTATACGCAGTCCTTGAGATCGACATTCAAGGAATTTTCCTATTATTACTACAGAGGCAAAATAGTACACTTGCTATTTTACCAATCAAGTTTTTGGCAACGTTGTCGGGGATTGTCAAAATATAGAGTTTAATTCTTGTTCAATTAAAATTTTGTTGCTCTGCAACTAAAATTTTGATTTCAGTTTTTTTAATTTTTTAATTTATTTGAATTTTATTTTATTATAGAAAAAGATAAAAAAAAGGGGTCAGATTTTTGTTGCTTCATGAATTCTTCTATACTTTGCTGCTAATAAAGTGTGTGAGTTTTGCAGCCATGTATTATTTTTATACATTGTCACCTGTATATGCTGCATGTTGGTCGCCTGATTCGGGAATCACTTTGGAAGAGGCGAATAAAATATTTAAAGCATATAAGAGGGAGGTAAGGATTCTGATGAATGAATATAATGAAGCTAATTGTTATTCAGATAGGTTTATTTGGAGAGAGTTCAAGTCGGAAGAAGAAAAATGTATAATATCATATGACAAAGATATAGTAAGAATAGACGAATTTGAGGTAAACAAGAATGATGGAGAAAAGGAAATTAGGAAACTTGAAGATGATCAAGTTTTGGATGAAACTACAAAAATTTAAAAATTTGTGAAGATGTGGACATCCAACCATAAAATCTTCAACAAAAGAGTCTCCCTAAAAATTATTTTCACAACAAGGCAGATGAAAGACAAGAAATTGATAATGTATTGGATGTCTTTCATGCCTTTTTCAATAAAATCAATTTGAAAATGATTTGGAAGCAATATCATCAGTACTTTAAGTTCATAGGATTGCTACCAAACTAAAGAAAGAAAAAAGATGATGTGTTCTTTGTGTCATATATTCCATCCTAACAAGGGGAATGAACTGTCGAGCCATGCGATGTTAAACGAAGCACTTCGTGGGAGGCAACCCACATTTTTAATAAATTAGTTTTCCTTTTTGTTTTGTTTTTTTTAGGTAATAAAAAGGGATCCTTATTGGTGAAAGCTAGGAGACAGTAGTTGGTATTGCATCACCCTCTGTGAGCCACCCTTCTCGATCTTGTTATGAAACATTGAGGCTAATGTTTAGTTCAAGTTTGAGGGGGAATTTACTACTTTGATTTGCGATTTATTGGTTATTTTATGCTATTTGCTTTGTAAAACCACACGTTGAAACTCGTCCCAAATTTTGACCGAAATTTTTTATTTTTCACAAGAGCTTGTAACTCAAAGATATCAAGAAAGTATATAGAGATAAAGGGATGATTGTTTGAGAGTAGGAAGTTCGGAATAATGTGACCGTGATATAAGTCTAATGTGTAGATTTGTACCATAGTACTTGAATCTTGAGAAGTACTCATTGAGTAGTTCATCTTTACAGTCTGGCATAATCGAGATTCACATGCATGCATGATTGGTTGAGAAATAAACAAAGTGGGAACCAAATAATGAAAATGCGCTAAAAGACAACTGGCTCGCTAAGTTGGGTAGCTCTCACCCGGTTATTCACCCCAAAGGGGGTTGATCTCCAAATGACGTCCAAATAAGGAAAATATATAAATTGCAAAAGTTTTGAAAATTTTATCGGTAATTAAAAGTGGCAAATACTTCCTATTTGGTGCCTAAACAAAGAAAACTCTTGATGAGTCTTGTGCATGTGATGATCATCGTAATTTTCATTACCTTAATTTGATTGTCTGAATAAAAAATGAAGAAAGTCGGAAAAAGACTTAAGCCCAAAGCATAGTTAGAGAGATATCCAAATAGGATGCTCAGGTTAAAAGGTTCTGAAAAAAAGAAGCTCTTCGCGTCATGTGAACACCAGACGGATTACCTCCTAATCAATGTGAATAGAAGTCTCACATATGAGTACCAAGCTACTGTGAATTTCATGAGCTCTTGTAATTGTCGCTTGAGGTCAAGCAATGGTTTTAAGTTTGGGGGAGTTTGATCAGTGATTTTTACACAGTTATTTACCATTAATTTCAGTTATATTTTCTTTTGATTTTCGAGTGTTTTTATTTCATTTTACTACATTTTATACATTGGTTGTATGTTTTAGTGTTTTTAGGCTCACAGGAATAAATTGGGACAAATTTGTGTGAAAAAATGAAAAATTCAGAGTTTCGGAAAAGTTTTCAGCACGCTCAAGAAGGTCCAACACAGCCACCCGTGTCAGTCAATGCGCTGATTGATCAGTTTTTACTAAAAAAATCGTAAATGGAGCTAAAAAAATCAGATTGACGCGTTCTAATATTCGCTAGAAAGCTGAGAGAAAGAGCTATAACTTTCATGTTGAAGTCAGAAGCTGATTCAGACTGTAGAAGCCTTAAAAAATTGATTAAAGTTGCAGACTTTAGAAACTTAGTTGTTTCGGGTCGTTTTACGGGCTTGGTTTATGTTTCTGACCTAGTTTGAGTTAGTAGTAGAAAACCTAATTTGGGTTATATTACTTTTTGCAAGCGAATAATTGGGAGGAAGAAGATTGGAGAAGACAAGGGTCTTGATAAAAGGAGAATTTCATGAACGGACGTGATTGAAGATCAAATTTCCCCCAAATACTTGTAATGTTTATAATTTTTCTTTTGTTTTCTTTGAATAGTATGAGTAGCTAATACCCCAATGCTATGGAGGTGCCCATGTTTTGCATTTGAAATAATTTTGAATTCCTAATTTGATAATACAATAGTTTTCTATTCAATTTAATCATTCAATGTTTTTAAGGCTTTCTTTGTCGGACAAACAAGATTGATTTACGGTTAACAATCAGTTGGACCGTGGTTGTTAAGGTTTGTGTATGATAAGAATATAGTAGATATCACCTAAGACTAGGGATACCCTATAGTTACTAGATAACTCTTGATAAAACAAAGGCTTGACTCCGTCATAAATTTCTAAGGACTTGGGATTTAGAATGGATGGTCAAAGGTTTTCTCACTAAGGACTTAGGGGAAAATAACCTAAAGAGTTGGTAATTAAATGTTATAAACTTGTTGAAGAGATCAAAATTCAAGGTTATTACAGGGAAAATCAT